TCAATAGGGATTGAACATGCTCCCTGTGGGAAGTGAAAATTGAATTTCAGAGTTGCTAATACATGATTAACTTACATCTATGTCAAATCCTAAATATTTTCCACATAAACAAGCAATGATGCAAAGCACTCATTCTCGGTTGAAGTCTGATGAGGATTTGAAGGTAAACATAATGACAACTAAGGGATAACTGACAATGTGATAAATCAAAACAAATTTCGGCAAGATGAACTATACGGACAGAAGAAAAGCGATTATTAGTATTACCCCCCTTGCATGATAGTTTCATAGATATTAAGCTTTAAAAAGTATATGTTATGAAAAGAAGTATATGAAAAGACAGAATATACATAAAACAAAGACACATGTTTCAATGGTATCTAATATATTATCTTGTGTGATTCTACACTTTATTTTTTAAAAGCCTAGCTTAGGCCAGGTGCGGTGGCCCATGCCTGTAATCCCAGTACTTTGGGAGGTCGAGGCGGGCAGATCACGAGGTCAGGAGATCGAGGCCATCCTGGCTAACACAGTGAAACCCCGTCTCTACTGAAAATACAAAAAATTAGCCGGGCGCGGTGAGGCTGAGGCAGGAGATTGGCGTGAACTCGGGAAGCAGAGCTTGCAGTGAACCGAGATGGCACCGCTGCACTCCCTCCAGCCTCCTGGGCGACAGGGCAAGACTCCGTCTCAAAAAAAAAAAAATTTAAAAAAATTTAAAAAAAGCTAGCTTATATCTGAAATCTTGGTTGTATCTCAGGAACAGGTGGATGCGTGTCATGAATCACAAAGCCTCTGCCATGCTCCCAACCAAATATTGGACACAGGGTCCTAATGGATCCATTTCTGTCAGACACACACACACACACACACACACACACACACACACACACACCCCTCAGCTGGAAACTTTACAGAGTTCTGTCTTTACAGAGTTCTCTTTCTGTCCTCTTCTGTTTGCTCTTCCAACATATGAAGGGTTGTTTGCTGATTATAACTAATGGGCAGAACACTGGTTCAGACAGCTTTGGACAATAGTGAACACAGCAGGGTATAAAGCTGGTCTAAAGAACAAAGGTCTGAATTCTGCAGTTAGAGGTACGTGGCCTTTGTGTAGAATGCTGGGCGGATGCTCTTTGACAAACACATTATTTAACTCTCTTTGAATGTACATGATTTCTCTGTGAAATGTTGTGTGAATAAAAATGTTCTTCCCAGTTGGCCACAGGCCACACCACCTCCATTGTGTCTGACCTCTAAGGGCATTTAAGATTGGGATCACAGCAGTAAGAATTTGTTTTTCTATACAATGTATACTTCAGTACATCTATCCAAATAGCAAGTAGATAAAGTACCAGCTGTGTTGAACATTATTATAAAATGTCAGTTAAAATTGTATCAGTTAGGGTTTAACTAAAGAGCAGAAACGGTAGATCATATAAATACACACACACAAACACACACACACAGACATAGGCACACATATGGCTTACTACACGTAATCTGCTTACACAATCATGAGGGCTGGCTCAACTATCCCAAAGTTCACAGAGCAGTCAGAAAGGGAGGATCCATGTGAAAGGAAGGGTGATTACAGCTCGGGTGTTGCTAAAAATCTCTTTATGTCTAATGTCTCATCCAGTCTCTTTTTTAAGGGACACCAATAGGATTAGATCAGACCCACTTGAGATAACCTCTATTTTAATTAACCCAGAATTAACCTCTTTGGAACTCTAATTACATCTGCAAAATCCCCTCACAGCAGCAAGTACACTAATGTGTGATTGAATAACTGGTACAAAGTGGGTGTATGCTACCAAACAGCTGTTATCTCCTTTCCAGATCTAACTTACAGAAGAGAATAGCTCTTGTAGCCTACCCTATCTGAAAACACATTAGAAAAATAATTCTGATGAATGTGCTAGTCTAGCCAGGTTGATATAATATAACACCAACACTAAAATAAACTTGTTAGATTTATATATATATATATATGAGTTCTTTTAGTACATATTTAACTTTAGTTAAACATTATCCATCTATACTTACTTTTAGAGATATAATTATACAAACACTGTGATGTTTCACATAATGAACAGATGCAATTCTTGATGTGACATAACATAATTGAATAATTCATTTCATTGCATGTTATCAAGAATGTACTAAATTCAAGGTAGTTTACTGGAACAGTAAATACAGAAATTTTAAACCATTACCATTTTGCTTAAAGAGCTCAAAGTCTATAGAGAGGTTTTTTTTTTTTTCTTAATACAAAATTTCATTGAAGTGCTATAATAGACATAAACAACAGTATTGAAATATAGAGAAAAGGTAAAAAGGCACCTAAACAAGTATGAAGGTGTTAGAAATATTTTAAATTATGAGTGATGCTTCAGCTTAGCTCTGCATGCATTTAGTCACTGTGAAACTGTAGAATATGGGGAAATTGCTTTCAGGCAAAAGGAAAATGATATGTGAGGAAAATTTTGAAAACATTTTTCTGAGTGCCTCAAACAGATTTTCTGAGTTCTCTGAGTCATTCTAGTGAATCGTTAAAAGTTGAGGACTCTTGACACAGAGTAAATGAAGGATATTTTGGTTTGGTTTGGTTTTTGGTTTTTGTCTCTATAGAAAAGACAGGAAAAGAACATCTGTGACCTCTAACACCTATCTACATTAGTTTTTCTTCCTGTGTGATTTCCTCTTATTAAAAAGTGAACATAGGCTGGGTGTGGTGGCTCACGCCTGTAATCCCAAAGTTTTGGGAGGATGAGGCGGGTGGATCACCTGAGGTAAGGAGTTCGAGACCACCCTGGCCAAAATAGTGAAACCCCATCTCTACTAAAAATGCCAAAAATTAGCCTGGTGTGGTGGCACACGCCTTAGCCCCAGATACTCAGGAGGCTGAGGCAGAAGAATCACTTGAACCAGGGAGGCAGAGGTGGCAGTCAGTTGAGATGGCTCCTGTGCACCCCAGCCTGAGTGACAGAGAGAGACTCTGTCTCAAAATAAATAAATAAATAAAAATAAATAAATAAATAAATAAAGTGAATATAAAATACCAAAATATAATCCTTCTACAACCAATTATGGGATTTAAATGAAGAGTCCCTACTAAATATTCCATATTTTGGATTCTCATTAAATTTTATAGGTTGTGAATACAAATCAAATGGTTACCTAAAGTAATGCCATTTAACACGATACAAATTCAACTACTATTAGAGCAAAAGCATCTGTTAATGAATAACAATCTGTGCATTTTAGTGAATAATTAAAAATCATTAAATTATAAATGGATTGAGCTTTCATTTCCAAAAATTGTCATCATATACAAATTAACACATATAACTAATACTATCTAAAATGTGAAAAGCCGTATCAATCATAAATTGGCATGGATGTATAGATGTCCACTGAACTTGTCTGCTAAAGAAACATCACAAAAAATTAAGTTATCATATCATAGGTATTTTCTCCCTGTCCCTACTTGTTTATGATAGATTATTCTAATTTAATGTTTAAATTAAATATTTGTATATAAGTAGTTTTTAAATCAAATGTTACTAAAAATTATATGGACAATTAACACTCCCTTGTCTCTTCATTGTTTTTATTTTTTCTTTATTCTCACTACTTGATTTTTCCTTACTATTTATCTTGATTTTCTCTACTTGATTTTTCTCACTACTTGATTTTTTGTTTTCCCTCTTTATTTTAATTACTTTATTTTTTGTTACATTTATTTAATGATTCTTAGACACCCACTCAAATTTAACTGTGAAGCATTTACAGGTGGATGAAAAACTGAACTTAGAGTTTGGACTTGTTTACCAATAGATCTCAATCTGTGGTGATTTGTCAGCGATATTGCTATTGCACTGGAATATAACCAACGGTCTAAAGACCATATATATTTTACTCTTGTGTTATTTAGTTTCTTCAGGGAGGAAATCTCTAATTTTCTACCAAAGTATAAAGTGGCCCTCGGTGTTCTGTGATCTAAGAGAACAAAGAGGACGGGAATTTGCTGATTTCAGTACAGCATCACTCTGACCATCTCCTCATACCTTTCCCTTTTATAGCTGGGATATCTAATTCAGTGGGAGGATGATGTATCCACAGAGCTGCAAAAAACAACAACAGCACCTATGCTAAGCCTTGTATCCACACAGGCAGATGCCATGGTATTTGACAGGTTAAGAATTAGAGTACTCTTGCTGTCCTGCTTTGTATTAGAGTGTTCATAGCTGATTCTAATATTGCTACATGGGCCATGTCATCACCCATCCCAACACTTCCTTACAGATATGCTGTGTAAAAAGTTTTGGCTACTGAAATGTTCAATTTTAGGTACATATAAACTTAAAAATGGGCCTAGGGCCAAATAAAAGAAAAATTGTGTGAACTTGGAAAGATGTACGATTGGGTAATGATAATCCTCTTCTATCCCTTCATACCACATCCTGAACCCAGAAACTTCCAATAGAACCTGAGCATATTTCCTCCCATATTTAATTTTTGTGCTAATTTATTTAATCAACTAAGCCAACCTTTAATTGTCAAGACCAAAATTTTAAAGATGATGACAAATATATTTTACCTATGTAATATTACTTTTCTTGACCATTTCTGTACAGCAAAGTGCATACCATAATCAGAAGAAATATATTCAGGCCGCCTGGATAGCAAAATTGATTTTTCTGTTTCATACCTTTAATTGTGTCCTCTGAATTTTATATTTTAACTAACAAACAATGCCTAAAATAGAACAGAATAACATCTGTTAGCATCCAGTTGTAGACCTGGAGGCTGCTGATAAAAATCTAAAGTAATTCACTCACCTATTCCATAGGTCCTTGTCCTTGGGGAATTCAACTCTAGGGGATTTTCAATGAATTTCATTCTGGTTAACATTTGGGTGATATGTATTCTTTTTCTTTTGAAAATTATATTAGCTATTTCATTGTGTGCAATTAAAATGTCTTCTCTCCTAGCGCAACAGTGCTTGGCAGCAGCACCAACATGCCTCCTCTTTTCATGAAACCAGGTAATGAGCACTACAATTCTAAGCACTTTGCCTGAAAATTCCAATGAGCTAACATCTGAGTTGTTGTTCTGTGTGTGTGGGGGGGGGGGGGGTGTGTGCATGTTTCACATAACCCATTCTCATTCTCCCTCAAAATTCCCACAGAAATTCATGACTGATTTTTCCATACAGGAGAGTTTTTATTGTGCAATTATCTAGGGTTCATTTGCCTAACTATACAGCAAACCCAATGACTAAAGCCCAACTATTTGATTATCCGTTCACCCTACTGATAGGGGAAACGTAAATATTCTCCCACTGATGAAAGGTTTAACTTTACTCACTGTTCAGGCTTTTACTAGTTTTCTTCCATAAAGGTTTTATCATCCACAGAGAATATTGATGCCAATTTTTCTATTAATAGTAATGGCCTTCTATCCACAAACTATTAGTAAATCAGAGAGCCTGCATTTTCTCTAATAGCAGAGTTTTGGGCTTGGATCACGCAGCAGTGGGAGTGGAGAGTTAATCAGATAGCTTTATCATGGATTCCATGGGGAGTGAAGTAAACTGCTTAAGTATGTGGTGGACTTTTCCCTAAACTCCCTCCCTCTCCCCTTCTCCATTCCATGCTGTTGATTACTCTACTGTCACTTTATGAATGAGGTATTGTATGCCACCCTTATCTATTGAATGTCTTTCTGACATCACCCAAAATTTGTTCAGCATAGCTGGGGTTCATCTGAGGTCCATCGGTGGTAGTAGTGATCTGTGTCGAAGCTCAGTCACAGTTTAAGGTAGAAACAAGTAATATATTCATTTTTCAAATAAGAAAGTAGAGAAATTAAAAGACCTGTACAAAATCATCCAGCTACAATAGCAGACCTTGAGGCCAAAGCCAGGCCTCTCTGTCTTTGACACTGAGCTTATTAATCTGTATCACATACCACTCTATTCAAGTGTTCTTTTATGGCTCTAATAAATGTGTACATGTGGCTTCTTAAAGTAGTATTTACCTAGTTAATTGTTTTTTAAAGTTTGTTTGTTTATTAATTCATTTATTCATTGAAGCTGTAAATGTAAATTTCCACTGTGATAATATAAACTATCATAATTTAGAATTATTAGATCCCCAAATAATAAGGATTTCTTAGCATATGTTGGATATTGGTGCCTAATTAACCTAAATTAACTATGTAAAAGAAATATTGACTAGAATAATATATTCAGTAGTGTATAGATAAGTAAACATTAGAGATATCTGTGGCTTACCACAACAGACGTTTGCTTCTCAATCACGTAAATTAAAAAGTAGATGTTCCTGATATGTGACAGGAAAGAAGAAGGGCAGTGGCCTTAGCTGAAGACAAGCATTCAGGAACCAAAGCTGACAGTTCCTGGCATCAGCAACATGTGGCTTTTAAGGTTGTCCATTGCCCTCCAGGCTGCAGAATCAAGAAGAGAGAAGGTGGAGAAATCATATTCACATATCACTCACTTTGGCGGGGAATATAGGCATTTTTTATGTTCTCTTTTTATTCCTAGAAAATGGGGATCATGGTTTGGCTGCCAGTTTGGGGCAACAACTCTATGCCGTGGAAAAGGACCATGACTTTCTTTTTTTTTTTTTTTTTTTTTTTTTTTTTTTTGAGACGGAGTCTTGCTCTGTCGCCCAGGCTGGAGTGCAGTGGCCAGATCTCAGCTCACTGCAAGCTCCACCTCCCGGGTTTACGCCATTCTCCTGCCTCAGCCTCCCGAGTAGCTGGGACTACAGGCGCCCGCCACCTCGCCCGGCTAGTTTTTTGTATTTTTTAGTAGAGATGGGGTTTCACCGTGTTAGCCAGGATGGTCTCGATCTCCTGACCTCGTGATCCACCCGTCTCGGCCTCCCAAAGTGCTGGGATTACAGGCTTGAGCCACCGCGCCCGGCCAGGACCATGACTTTCTTATTGCACAGATAGCTGTCCCTGCTATAGACAGAATGCTAGCATTTTGGAAAACTTCTTATGAAAACTTTGATAATTCTTAAGCCAATGAGTAATTTATCAAATAAAGTGTTTTAAAGATGTTTATAACTGATGTGTGCTTGTTTAGTTAGCTGTAAGTTATAAGAAATGATAAAAATATTTGTGGCAGGGCCAGGAATTTAGCAAAACAGAAGCAGTATAAATTATTGTGTCCAAGCCTGAAGCACAGGGTTAGGCTAGCTTATGTAGTCATAAAAGTCCAATGGGGGTATTCATAAATTCCTTGTCATGGAACAAATGCAGGAATGGCACTCAAGAGAAGAGGTTTTACAGCCCTGCGATGTCCTTGTTATTCTCCACATTGATCTCCAGTTGCTGCCTGACTGGAAGTACATATTACAAAAGGCTGATGAAACTGTGAAAGGCTCAGAGAAGTAAAGCACTCAGTACTTCCTATGGTATAATGAAGATATATGCAGTTACATGAAAATTAAGATGGTCCCAGATCAATAATGTAAATCAAAGAATAAAAAAGACCAACCAGTTTTTCTGAAAAAGAAACTACAGTGAAACTGTAGATCACAACTAATTTGTGAGGTTGTAATGTACAGAGTATGCTTAAGATTTCAAAGTTCTTGTATTGCTTATCTGAATGAAATGAAACACATATATCATTCTAACAAATATCTCCCAGCAGATTGTGAACTTTGAAAATGGGAAAAGGAATTAAAGGCAATGTATTTTATATGTGTGTTCTTTCTTCTCAGGTTCAGTTATTTCCCCATAAAGAATTCATATTTTCTATTCAACAGACATTGACCAGTCTTTTAATAGATGCTGCTTGCTAAGGTAGTGCAAAAACTAACTCTCAAAAACAATAAACACAACAGCTCTCATTTATCTAGTTGTCTGAGTGACCACCTTAGTAACCCATTTCAAAATAGTAGAAGAGGTGTAGAGATATTACTTGATTCTCTTCTTTAAATGTTTATTTTAAGTTCAGGGTTATATGTGCAGATTTGTTATAAAGAAAAACTTCTGTCATAGGGATTTGCTGTAGAGATTATTTCATCACCCAGGTATTAAGCCCAGTACCCATTAGTTATTTTTTTTCTGCTCCTTTTCCTCCTCCCACACTCCAACCTCCAGTAGGCCTAAATGTCTATTATTCCCCTTTATGTGTCCATGTATTCTTATCTTTTAGCTCCTACGTATAAGTGAGAATATTTGGTTTTGGTTTTCTGTTCCTGTGTTAGTTTCCTAAAGATAATGGCCTCAAGCTCCATCCATTTTCCTGCAAAGGACATTATCTCATTTTTTATGGCTGCGTAGTATTCCATTGTGTATATGTACATTTTCTTTATCCTATCACTGATGGGCATGTAGGTTGATTCCATGTCTTTGCTACTATAAATAGTGCTGCAATGAACATATATGTGCATACGTCTTTATGAAAGAAGATTTATATTCCTTTGGGTATATACTTAGTAATGGTTTTGCTGTTTTTAGGTCTTTGAGGAATCACCACACTGTCTTCCACAATGATTGAACCAATTTACAGTCCCACCAGCAGTGTATAAGCATTTCTTTTTCTCTGCAGCCTCACCAGCATCTGTTATTTTTTGACTTTTTAATAATAGTCATTCTGACTGTTGTGAGATGGTATCTAATTGTGGTTTTGATTTCATTTCTCTAATAATCACTGATGAGCTTTTTTCATGTGCTTGTTGGATGCACGTACGTCTTCTTTTGAAAACCATCTGTTCATATTCTTCCCCCACTTTTTAATGAGGTTGTTTGTTGTTTTCTTACAAATTGGTCTAAGTTTCTTATAGATGGTTGTCAGATGCACAGTTTGCAAAATTATTCTCCCATTCTGTAGGTTGTCTGTTCACTTTAATGATAGTTTCTTTTTCTGTGCAGAAGCTCTTTAGTTTATTTACCTTCCATTTGTCAATTTTTGCTTTCGTTGCAGTTGCTTTTGGTACCTTTGTCATAAAATCTTTGCCCCTGTTCCTAAGTTCAGAATGTGATGTCCTAGGTTGTGTTTCAGAGTTTTTATTATTTTGAATTTAACATTTAAGCTTTTAATCTATCATGAGTTAATTTTTGTATATAGTGTCAGAAAGGAGTCTAGTTTCAACCTTCTGTACATTTTTAGCCAATTCACCCAGCCCCAATTATTGGATAGTGAGTCCTTTCCCCATTTCTTGTTTTTGCCAAGTTTGCTAAACAGCAGATAGTTGTAGGCATGTGGCCTTATTTCTGTGTTCTGTATTCTTTTCCATTGGCTATGTGTCTGTTTTTTTGTACCAGTGCCATGCTGCCTTGATTACTGTAGCCTTGTAATATAGTTCGAAGTCAGGTAGCATGATGCTTCCAGCTTTATTCTTTTTGCTAAGATTGTCTTGGCTATTTGGGCTCTTTTTTGGCTCCATATGAGTTTTAAGAGGTTTTTTTTTTTTTTTTCCTAGTTCTGTGAAGAATATTAATGGTAATTTAACGGGAATAGTGTTGACTTTGTAAATTCCTTTGAGCAGCATGATCATTTTAATGATATTGATTATTTCTATCCATAACTGTGGAAGGTTTTTCCATTTGTTTGTCCCATCTCTGATTTCTTTGAGGAGTGTTTTGTAGTTTTCCTTTTAGAGATCTTTCACCTTCCCAGTTATGTATTTTATTCTTCCTGTGGAAGATTGAGATTACATTTCTCAGCTTGACTGTTGTTGATGTATAGAAATGTTAGTGACTTTTGCACATTGATTTTTGTATCTTGAGACTTTGCTGAAGTTGTTAATTAGCTTAAGGAGCTTTTGGACTGATTCTATGTGGTAGAATCCATGTCATCTGCAAACATGTATATTTTTACTTCCTCTCCTTCTATTTGGAAGCCCTTTATTTCTTTCTCTTGCCAGACTGCCCTGGCCAGGACTTCCAATAGTATGTGGAATAGGTGTGGTGACAGAGGGCATTTTTGTGTTGTGCTGGTTTTCAGGGAAAATGCTTCCAGCTTTTGGCCATTCAACACAATGTTGACTGTGGGTTTGTTCCTTCTTTTTTCAATTACTCGTAGCTTTTATCTTAAGTTTGGGGTTACATATGAAGGCTTGTTATATAGGTAAACTCATGTCATAGGGATTTGTTCTATAGATTATTTAATCACCCAGGAACTAAGCCCAGTAATACCCAATAGTTATCTTTTCTGTTCCTCTGCCTCCTCTTACTCTCTGCCCTTAAGGAGACCTCAGTATCTGTTGCTTCTTTCTTAGTTGTTCAAAAGTTTTATCAATACCCAGTTTATTGAGAATTTTTAATGTGAAGAGGTGCTGAATTTTATCAAAAGCCTTTTATGCACCTGTTGAGATAATTATGTGAATTTTGCCTTTAGTCCTTTTTATATGATAAATCACTTTAATTGATTTGTGTATATTCAACCAACCTTACATCCTGGGGATGAAGCCTACTTGATAATGGTGGATTAGCTTTTGGATGTGCTGCTGAATTCAGTTTGCAAGGTTTTGTTTTGAGGATTTTTGCACTGATGTTCATAAAGAATATTGGCCTGAAGTTTTATTTTCTTGTTGGGACTCTGCCAGGTTTTGATCAGGATGATGCTGGCCTCATACAATGAGTTTGGAAGGAGTTTATTCTCCTCAATTTTTTGGAACAGTTTCACTGGGAATGGTACCAGCTATATTTTGTACATCTGGTACAATTCAGCTGTGACTCTGTCAGATCCTGTGCTTTGTTTAGTTGGTAGGCTATTTATTACTGATTCAATTTTAGAGCTTGTTATTTGTCTGTTCGGGACATCAACTTATTCCTGGTTCAGTCTTGGGAGGCTGTATGTGTTCAAGAATTTATCCATTTCTTTTAGGTTTTCTAGTGTATGTACAAAGAAATGTTCATAGTATTTTCTGATGGTTATTTTTATTTCTGTGGGGTCAGCAGTAACCTTCCTTTCATAATTTCTAATTGTGTTTATTTGAATCTTCTATCTTTTCTTCTTTATATATTCTAGATAGCAGTCTATTTTATCACTTTTTTCAAAAAACAAACTCCTGAATTCATTGATCTTTTAAAAGGTTTTTTATATGTGCCAGAAATTCTGGGATGTTGTATCTTTGTTCTCATAAGACATTCGGGCACATGTTGCTTAATTTCCATGTAATGTCATGGTTTTGAACAATTCTCTTAGTCTTGACTTCTATTTTTATTTCACTGTGGTTCAACAGTGTGTTTGTTATTGTATCAGTTCTTTTGCATTTGCTGATTATTGTTTTATGTTCAGTTATATGGTCAATTTTAGATTATGTGCCATGTGGCAATGAGAAAAATGCATATTCTGTAGTTTTGTAGTGGAGAGTTCTATAGAGGTCTAACAGATTCTTTTGGTCCAATGTTGAGTTCCAGTGCTGAATATCTTTGCTATTTTTTCTGCCTTGGTGATCTATTTAATACTGCCAGTGGTGTGTTGAAGTCCAGCCCTATTACTGTGTTGAAGTCTCAGCATGAAGGGGTGTTGAATTTTATTGAAAAGATTTTCTGCTTCTATTGAGATAATCATGTGGATTTGTCTTTAGTTCTGTTTAAATGATGAATCACGCTTATTGATTTGTGTATGTTGAACCAAGCTTGCATCCTAGGGATAAAACCTACTTGATCATGGTATAAAAGATATTTGAGGCCGGGTGCGGTGGCTCAAGCCTGTAATCCCAGCACTTTGGGAGGCCGAGACGGGCGGATCCCGAGGTCAGGAGATCGAGACCATCCTGGCTAACATGGTGAAACCCCGTCTCTACTAAAAAATACAAAAAACTAGCTGGGCATGGAGGCGGGCGCCTGTACTCCCAGCTACTCGGGAGGCTGAGGCAGGAGAATGGCGTGAACCTGAGAGGCGGAGCTTGCAGTGAGCTGAGATCCGGCCATTGCACTCCAGCATGGGTGACAGAGCGAGACTCCGTCTCAAAAAAATAAATAAATAAATAAATAAAAAGATATTTGAAGTGTTTTCTGATTTTGCTTGCCAGTATTTTGAGGATGTTTGCATAAATGTTCATGAAGGATATTGCCCTAAGTTTTCCTTTTGTGTTGTGTTTCTGTCCGATTTTGCTATCAGGATGATAGAATGAGTTAGGGAGGAGCCTCTCTTCCAGAATTTTTTGCTGTAGTTTCAGGAGAAATGATACCAGCTCTACTTTGTACTTCTGGTACAATTCAGCTGTAAATCCATTTTGTCCTGGGATTTTTTGGGGGGTTGGTAGGCTATTTATTACTGATTCAATTTCAGAGCTGATTATTGTTCTATTTAAGCACTCAATTTTCCCTGCTTCAGTCTTGGGAGGATACCCACGTTCAGGAATTTATCCATTTCTTCCGGATTTTCTACTTGATGTGCATAAAGGGGTTCATAACATTATGTGGTAGTTATTTGTATTTCTGCGGGGTCAGTGGTGATATGCCTCTTGTTGTTTCTGAATGTGTTTATTTGAATCTGTTCCCTCTTATTTTTTATTAGTATATTTAATGATCTATTTATTTTATTGATATTTTCAGAAAATAGGCTGTTTAATTTGTTGATCTTTAGAGTGGCTTTTTTTTTTTTTTTTTTTTACCTCAATCTCCTTCAGTTCAGCTCTGATTTTGCTTATTTCTTGTCTTCTGCTAGCTTGGAGTTGGTTTATTCTTCTTTCTCTAGTTCTTTTAGTTGTGACATTAGGTTGTCAAGTTGAGATCTTTCTAACTTTTTAATGTGAGCATTTAGTGCTATAAAATTCCCACTTAACCCTGTGTTATCTGTGTCTCAGAGATTATAACACGTTGCATCTTTGTTCTCATTACTTTCAAAGAGTTTCTTGATTTCTTACTTAATTTCATGATTTACCCATAAGTCATTCAGGAGCAGGTTATTCAGTTTCCATGTAATCGAATGCCTTTGAGCGGAATAGTTAGTCTTGGTTTTTAACTTTACTCTGCTGTGGTCTGAGAGAGTGCTTGCTATGATTTAAGTTCTTTTCCATTTGCTGAGGAGTGTTTTACTTTTGATTATGTGATCGATTATATAGTTTATGCCATGTGATGAGAAGAAGAATGTATATTCTATTGTTTTCTGGTGCAGAGTTCTGTAGATGTCTATCAGATCTATTCGAACCAATGCTGAGTTCAGGCCTTAAATGTTTTTGTTAATTTTCTGCCTCGATGGTTTATCTAATGCTGTCAGTGGAGTGTTGAATTCTCCTGTTAATATTATGTGGGAGTCTAAGTCTCTTTGAAGTTCTCTAAGAACTTGCTTTATGAATCTGTGTGCTTCTGTGTTGGGAATATATTCTGAATTTGATTGGTGGCCTTTCTAGCTATGTTGGGGAAGTTCTTATGGATGATATCCTGAAATATGTTTTCAAAGTTGCTTCCATTCTCCCCATCTTTTTCAGGGACAGCAATGAGTCATACATTTGGTCTATTTACATAATCCTCTATTTCTCTGAGGTTTTATTCATTTATTTCCTTCTTTTTTCTCTATTCTTGTCTGGCTGTCTTATTTCAGAAAGGCAGCCATCAACCTTTGAGATTCTTTCCTCCATTTGGTCTGTTCTGCTACTAATACTTGTGAGTGCCTTATGAAATTCTTGTAGTGCGTTTTTCAGTTTTATCAGGTTGGTTCCATTTTTTTTTTTTCTACACTGCCTGTTTTGTCTGTCTGTTCCTGCATTGTTTTAACATGATTTTTAGCTTCCTTGGAATGAGTTTTAATGTACATCTTTAGCTCAATTATCTTTTTTCCTATCCTTAGTCTGAATTCTATTTCTGTTATTTCAGCAGCTCAACACAGTTCAGAACTCCTGCTGGAGAGATGATTCAGCTGTTTGCAGGAATAAGGCCCTCTGACTTTGTGAGTTTTCAGAGATTTTTGTGCTGATTCTTTCTCATCTTTGTGGGTTTGTCTTCCTTCAGTCTTTGACATTGCCAACCTTTTGATTTTTGTTTGTTTGTTTGCTTGCTTTCATCTTATTTGATTCCTTTGAGGTTTTGATTGTGGTATAAGGTGGATTCAGTTGACTGGCTTCATTTCTGGAAGATTTTAGGAGATCAACACTCTGCTCCCAAATCCTGAACTGTGTGTTCTAACTGGGAGACATATATTGGACCCCAACTTTGCTCTCTGGCTTCTCAAGGTTAGGAATCTACTGAGCTGGGGGAATTTGAGGTGTTCCCAGACCCCCAAGTCACTACACTCCAATGGATAGTGTCAGCTAAAGCCTTTCATAGTGCAGTGACAGCAAGATCCATCCTCACATTCCAGCAATAGCAGTAGTGGAAGTTGTGGCAGAGTGCTAGTGGGTTCTGAGGTGCCTGCCTCCCTTGCAGCTTGGTTTGAGGGGAAGATGGGGGCAGCTGGGGACCCCTGCTGGAGACTGTGTGAACAGCTGTGCCCAAGGTGGTATTGGCTCAGGGGCCAGGCAGTGACAGGCACAAGTCTGGGTACCTTCTCTGTTCCCTTCAAGCAGGAGTGATGGCTCAGGATGGAGGAAGATCCACTGTTCGCTGCATAGTGTTAGTACAAGGGTGGGGTGCTTGTAGGTGTGGGGCTTGCTGGCTTTGTGCCCTCCAAGGCTCTGTCTGCAATGGCATTCTGGAGGGGAAGGGGAGGCGGATTGGACTCCAGTATGCTGTCAGTGCCAGGAAAGCAAAACCTACCTGCACAGACACACCAACAGAGCATTCTGGGGGGGTTGCCTTGAGCCCAGGGGGAAGCTACAATTTAGGGAGGGAGCATGTAGGCTGGGGCCTCAACATAGGTGCTGCCCCACTGGAGCTGTCTGCCAGTCCCACACAGTCTGCCAGCACAGAAACTATAACACAGGCCCCAGACCACTCAGGGCTGCCCTGCAAGTAGGCATAGGCATGCTGGGGCTCTGGAAGAGGCCAGTAGACCAGGGAGTGCTCAGGTCAGACTGTCCCTATCTATTGGACAAGCCCCATTTTGCAGTGTTCAGATTCAGCAGTTCCTCTAGGGCTAATGTTTCCTATGGGAGCAAGTCAAGCCTAGCAGGATGGCCATCTCTGGCCTTAATCTGCTACAGATGCTCCTGTACCAAAACCTCTGGACTCCACATCAGCTGGCTTACTGCTTCTACCACTTCTCTAAGCAGCTCTCCCTGCCAATTCGAATGCCTGCGGTGGTTGAGGGGTCTCCTGCCGGTGCTCTAGAGGCCTGTGGTGAAGGCAGATTGCTCTTCGCCATTTCAACTCACCCATTCCTCTAGAGCCATTGGTGGCCAAGAACGAGACTGGGTGCAATTTATCTACATGTAGCATTCCCAACGTTCTCCTCCTTCTGCCAGCTTCCCTGTCCTCCCTGTGTCCACTCTCGGGAAGACTGGTTAGGAGCATGTCAGGAGCATGCCAGTCGTCTCAGTCTCTAAGTAGGAGCTGTTCCACCTGTCTGCATTTAGTTGGTCATCTTACTGCATATGACTCTTTTGCTATACCAAAACTATGATCAACAGCCAGTCCCAAATGAAAGCAGTGAATGAAAAGTTGTTAGGTTGCTATAAGAAAATGTGTTAAACATATGATACCCACTGTTTGTCAGAAATGCAATAGCGACAGCCTGCCAGGGAGAAAACAGCAACTTACAATAATTTATCTTAAGGTGAACTTATCCTTTATGCCAGTTTCATCTTCTAATAATAGTAGATTAAAAGGATGAAACTAAATTGTATTTAGAAGTATTTGGTTACATACATTCATGATTTTTAATAATAGATATGCTGCATGCATTAGATGACCAGGCCCTTATTTTTGTCATGTAAGGTAACATATTCAAAGGTTCCAGGGATCAGAACGTGGACTTCTTTGGGGTTTGGGGGCATTATTCAGCCTACCCCAATAAATCTGAGGTGATTTATAAGAATGGCCTAGAAAATATGATGTTCCATAACTGTGACTACCATGTTATAAATGTTATACCATGTTATAAATGAGCCAGTCAAAAGTTATTTTCGCTGTCAAAGTCCAGTGTTTCTGAAAAATGGAAACTGAAGAAATCAAAAGTCATTTTTGTTTTTTTCACAGAGGAACAACTTACGTAGTTCTTTTTCTTTTTACATGTATGGTATTTTAATATTTTTACCAAATAACATTTTTCATGGAACTCGTAATTTTCTAATGTTCTTTTAACAGTTTCTTCTGATTATAGAAGTCATATTAGTGTTTTATTAGAAAACTGGATAAATAAAAATAAAGATATAAAACAAGGTATGAATTCAGGAATCATATTGCTCGATAACACACTGATAATATTTTGGTAATATGTCTAATAGTCTGTTTCTCCTACCATTTATATCTAGAAACATTTTGCTTCAATAAAGTACATATTATAATAACTCACATGGATTCAGCACTTAAAATATAGCAGACTGTACTATGGACTGTCAAAACGGCCATGAGTACATTGACTGTATATATTTAAATATATGTATATTTAAATAATATATTTAATGATATAATTTAATTAATAATATAATTAAATAAAAATATATTTAAATAATAAGTTAGCCATGGTTAAGTAGTGTAATTTAACAAATTATTGAGTCATAGGTTATGACTTTTGACACATTGGGATATATTACTTTTCAGAAAATGTATACTTTCAGTCATATCAGTGTATGCCGTACTTTCTTGAGGCCGTAGATTTTTGAATCCAGGTTTTGATTCCTTCTTGACTCACCCAATTAGGAATGTAGAATATAACCCAAGGAAATCTCATAGAATAACTAGACATTTCTTGCCTCGTACTATGATTTTTATCTAAAATTCATGCCAAAGAAGGACACCCTTGCTGTATACCAGAGCATTTTTAGAACATTTAAGAATTCAGATGCCCAACTTCTTGTACTACGGCTACTGAGTCGGGGACTTCCTATTTAGGAATTAAGAATATGTACTTTTGTTTTTCCGTTCCTGCATTAATTTGTTCAGGATTCGGGCCTTTAGTTCCAGCGATGTGGGAGCTAAGCATTGAGCATACACGGGATGTGCATATCATGTAAATATGGGAATAATGGACAATGCGGACTACTCCAGGGTGGAGGGATGGGGGTAGGGGGGAGTTAAGAAACTACCTATCAGGTACTATGCTCACTACCAGGGTGCCAGGGTCCGTACTCCAAACCTCAGCATCATGCAATATTCTCAGGTAAAAAATCTGTACATGTATACCCCACATCTAAAATAAAAGTTAAAATTAAAAAATGATATAGTCCCCAAAGAAAAGAATGTGTCTTTTTAAAACACTTTCCAGGTAACTAAGTTGTACCTCTAGGTTGTAGAATCTCTGAGTAAATGCTAATGCCTCAGACCGTTAGTTTGACTGCCTCTACTTTCTAGTTCTTTGTTATTAGCAAACATCTTATCTAGTCCTTCTAAGACTGGGAAAATGTAGTCTAAAAAAGAACACTTCTTCTCTTTAGTTTGTCCTATTTTGTTCATTACGGGGTCCCTTAAACCTAAGTTTCCAGTAAATGAGTCAAAATTCATTTGTTTTCCTGGTAGATGTTTCATAAACTCAGCACAATTTATTGTGAAGATTATCTTTGTGCCTGTTAAACAGCAGTGAAGCTTGTTCATGAATCAGGTCACTGTGTATGTGTGGTCTGATTCTGGATTCTGTTCCATACATCGATTTGTTCTTGAATCAATACCACACTGTCTTAATTTCTAAGCCCTTCATATCAAGTAAGGTATACCCTAAAGCTTTTCTACTTCTTCCTCAAGATTAACTTGTCTATCCTGGGTCATTTTCATTTTTATATACATATTAGAATCAACTTTTAAATTTTCATAAAAGTGCCTAGAAGGATCTTGATAGTAATTGTACTAAATCTATAGAAGAATTTGGGAGATTAGTATCCTAAAAGTTTTTAATTTTGCAATCAATAAATACAGTATACACTTTCATTTATTTGTCTCATTCAGTGTCTCAATAATACTTTAAATTTATAGCTATCCAGTACATCTTTTGTTAGTTATCCCTAAGTAATGTATTATTTGCATAGTATTGTAAACAAGATTTTTATTTTGTTTTCCAGTTTTCTAAATGTTGCTAGAATAGAAATCCGTTTGGTAAACTGTGCCCCATGATCTTGTTCAATTTACTCATTAATTCTAATAGATTGCTTATAATACTATTCAATTTCCTAAATATTTTCCCTTTCCCTCTTCACTATCTATATGTTTTATTCTATTTATCATACCCTATTTTAGTGGCAAGAACATTTGGAGTCCATTAGCGGTGATGGTGGTGTATACCTTTGTCTTCTACCCATCCTTAAAGGGGAAATATTCACTATTTCACCATTAAATATAATGTTAGCTGTAGGTTTTGTGTGGGTTTTGTATAGATTATCAGATTAATTTCTTTTTATATTTATAGAGTTTGCTAAGAATTTTGATCATGGTCAGGTAATGCATTTTATTCGTATTGTATTTAAGGCTTTGTTTATGCCTTAAAATTATCATATGGGTTTTGTTTCTTAATCTGTTAACATGATGACTTTAATGATTTTTCAATAGTAAACTAACCTCACATTCCTGAAATAAAACTTACTAGATAATTGTCTATTAATGTTGTTATATATAACTTTGATTTGAGAATTTGATTTGGGAATATTTTTATAGGCTTATGTATATATTTATGAGAAATATTGTCTTTTATTTTGCTTTTTCCTATCTAGTTTTGGTATCAAGGTTATTATAGAATAAGAAAATGATGTGGAAGTTCTTCCAGTCTTACTCTTTGGAAGTATTTGTGTAAAATTGATATAATTCCTTTCTTAGACATTTGGAACACTTCCCTTTGAATCATCTGAGTCTAAAAGTGTGTAAAGATAAGTGTTTGTGTGTAGATATTTAATTTTAGATTCAATTTCCTTAGTGAAACCTTTCAGATTATCTATTTATTCTGATGCTAATTGTGATGAGTTATATATTTTGAGAACTCATCCATTATTGTGAACATTTTAACTTTATTACTATAAATTCGTCATAATGTCTTTTTTATCTGTGAGATCTAGGTTGATTATTTATTCTGATATTGATAACTTAACATTATCTCTATTTTTTCTGATAAGACTTGTTAACAAGTTATAATTTTAATCAATATTTTCAAAGAATGAATTTCTGGATCTAATTTATATTCCCTATTGCATTGCTTTTTCTCGTACCTTTACTATTCCTTTGAGCTTAATTTGCTTTTTATCCAACAAGCTTGTTGAGTTGAAAGCTTAAATCAATGCTTTACAGCATTTCTTCCTTTCTAAATTGTGCATTTAGAACTTATAGTTGTACTTTACATTTTATTACATGCTTTGCAGACAAAGTGCATACTTTACATGACCCATATTGATTATTTAAAAGTCATTATTTAATCTCTCTGAATTCCGAATCAACACTTGGTCTTTATTATCAGCTCTCCTTTTTTTTTTTTTTTCTACCGTCTTTTTCACTCAGTTTTGCCTGTTTTTGTCATGTCTCAAAAATTTTGAACAGATGCCAGGCTGCATATTAAAAATTATGGAGTCTCTAGTCTCTGTTATTTTTAGCAGATAGAGTGACAGCAGATCAGTTTCATTCTTGGCTGACTGGGTTTGAGGCTTGGTTAGGGATGGTCTGTTTCTGTTTCTCATGCATATTATTGCCACTTTAGGTATCTATTGCAAGTACCAAATTACTCCCAAACTTACTGGTTTTAACAACAGCATTTATTATTTCAGTCTATATAGGCCAGAAATCTGGGAATGATTAAGCTGGACTTTCTGCTTCAAAGTCTCACATGCTGAATTCCATGTGTCGGCAGGACCACAGTCCTCCCAAGGATTATCTGGGGAAGGATCCGCTTCCATGCTTATTCATGTGATTGTAGCAGAATTCAGGTCCTTTTGGGCTGTTGGACAAGGGACTTGGTTCCTCATTGGCTGTTGCCTGGAGGCCATGTGAATTTCTCCATAGAGTAGATCACATATGGTGTAAATATGATACTGTGTAATATACCACAGTAGAACACAACCTTTACTCCTGTGGAGTGACCTTCATTCAAAAGGCATAGTCCTTCCATTGCCTCAACTGAAGTCTTGAGGTATTTCCTAAAGTCTTTCCTCCATGGTAAAACTTGAAATTCACTCATTCTCCACTTAGGATAACATAGCTGCTAAAATCTCTGCTCAACAATTCAGCCTCCCAGTTGCTGTCGTCTGATTTGTTTCTTGGAATATGTGACATTTGCATGACCTGAAAATTAATTCTCTCTGGATTTTTGCATCTCTTGTCCTAGCTTTAAACTGTGCAGACCCGAACCGTCCCTTTTGTTCTCTGTCCCTTCTGACACTTCAGTTTTCTGATATGGTAAAATCTTCCTTAAATACAATTTTTATATTGTATTCTAGGAAAAATCGGAGGTGAATTCAAGCTAATCTCATGGGCTTCTTTCCTTTCAGGATTATGGTTCCTAAAAACTTGCCTGTTTGGGTTGCTGTTTAAATGGCTTGTAAAAGCCATTTTATATATTTGTCTGGTAATTTTTTTTCAAGCAAGATGGTTATTTTGCTACAGTATATGTTATTAAAATTATGTATCACTATTATTCACTCTTATGTTTGTATTATAAGAATTTTTGAAATAAAAGCATTTATATTTTATTACATTAAGTGGCACTGTTTCTGTGTTTTGAAAAAGGGACCTCACATTTTCGTTTTGTACCTTGTCCCACATGTCCTCTAACTAGACCTGATTTCTGAGTAATAAACTTTTATCATCTGAATTATATTACTCCCTGAAAACCAATACATTATTACAAAATTATTTTCCCATAAAGCATCTTGCCCAGTATGACAGACTTGCCAGCTCTTCTCTAAACCCAGTTTCTTTCCTCTGTATGTGTCTCAGGCTCCCTGGCCATTGGTGTGATTGTGTGACTGAATGCTAGTCAAAGAGAAATGAGTAAAAGTGTCAAGTCCTACTTCTAGTGCTAACCCATAAAAGTCTCCACTCTCTGACTCTTCATGCTTTTCCCTCCTTGATTCAATGCAGAAGACTGCAAAGACCTGGGAAG